ACAGTATTAGTAAATAAAAATAACACTTTATACTTGTTTTGCGCCGGAACGTATAATTCTTACATAACACATGTGTTTCAAGATCTTTTGCTAAATTGATTCCCTATTGGCTCGCAATCAACTAGGTTTACTTACTCTTCTTGATTTAAAAAAGATTTCCAAAATTTTAGAACGGCAAATTTCAATAAAACTATATACATACTTGAAAGTTCTGGCTACTTGGCTAATGATACGATCGAAAATAAAAGTTGATCGGCAGAGGTATCGACCCAGATGAAGTTAACATTAAAGGTACCAATTTTACAGCATCAGCTGGGATTTTGACATTTGATATCTCTTCAGTGATGATCGAGGCAACATATTTGAAAATCAAATGCATAGTACAATAGTTGAAAAGCTGGCAAAACTAAATATGAAAATAATCTATGTTGATCCACCAGGAAACAATAATAAAAGGAAATACTGTCTAAAATTACTTTTCTATTTATTATGACCACATGTATCAGACTTTAGAGGGAAATTACAAATTTAGAATGAGCTATAACAATAAATTTATTATGATTATCTTTGCCTATATGATGGAATCACAAAATCTTCTAAATGACGTCTAGGCAAGAAAATAAAATTCCAAAACGGCTTTTTATAGCTTAATAACTTAATACTGTCATTTACTGGATAGGGAATTAAAAGATCAGCAGACTTTTCAAAAATTTGAATATTTAAATAATTCTATGGTTCAAACTAAACAAATGATCACCTACGCCTATGATGACATAACTTCTCAGCATTATCATTTTATTACTTGTCTTTTTCCGGGACATCAATGTATAAGCACAAAAGATAAATATCAAATAAAAATGTTCTTTCCGTATAAGCTTATTATTCCAACCCCCACAGTCAAAAGATATTAAAAGAAATAACATTTTCCAACGCATTGGTTACATCATGAATTGCTAGTGTTATTACTGCTTCCTCATCCAGAAATTTACGTTCTTGTTCTTATTTGGAATAAATGGGTCGTGTTATTGATATCCGAAATCTTTTCATAGAATAATTAATTTTTACTCAGACTGTTTCAAATGCAAATAGATACATTTTATGTTGTTAATAAGACCAACATGTCATCTATAAACATTCAAAAGAAATGTCAACCGGAAACTCATTCATTTTATTTGAACGTTTATCCAGGGTAATATGTCTGATAACTAACATGGATGTTCAATAACGGTCGTTTAATGCAATGTTATAGTTTCCTTAAATGTTGTAAAGAGAAAAACAGGAAGTTTGGAAGTAAATGAAATGATTTATTTTTGAAAAAATATGTTACTATGTTAGACGGACAACTGAAATGGTTAAACAAAAGAAACACGAGATTTAAATGGACACAAAATAAGGAATTATAGGACACAAAAAAACTTTAAACAATGCAAACAATTATCATACAACAATAACAAAAATCGGGAATAGTACCAGGTACTTCAAATGCCAAGCATATCATGTTTAACACACGATCGCCGTAGTTTCCCTTTGACCAAAAAACTACCTTATCAATAAATTATCAAGTTCGTTTTATTAAAACCAAATCTCTATATCTTTTTTGTCCGTTCTTTCAGACGACGATAGATTGGTGTTTAACTTCCATTGGCAAATATTCTTTTTCGAACAAAATTAGTAAATGCACATAATTTCATGTACTTCATTTTAAATGTAGATAAAAGCTTTTTCTGTTGTCTAAGAAAAACTCTTGTGAATATGCACGCCTATTGTTTTTCTTGTCTTGCAAATCTTTAATTTGGATTGGTTGACTGTTTTTTCTTTAGTTGATCTTTAACATTTCGACTTCTTTTAATTCTTTTAAATTTTGAAATTCACTTTGTTTCGATCGAATTGTGCATTTATACAGTCACTTTTAAAATTATTCATTTTGATTCCCGTGTTGTTGTCAAGTATCCATCCAATCAAAATACATTAAAATTCTCAAGCTGGTTTAGTTGTTTTAAGGTTTATTTGTTGTGATGAATTTGCAGACTTAGCTAATTTTCTTTATAACTTTTTGTGTTTGTTTCTATGAAAACTATATAAATTTTATGATATTTCAATGAACGATCTAACAAAGAGGTAAATCCTCATCAAAACACAACATAATTGGAATAAAACATTTAAATTTGCTTTAATTTTATGAAGTCAGATTTTTTTCTGATACACAACTTGAATTCGACCTTTGTGTTTCTTATTTGAGAATGCCTAGCACTCGTAATTATGACTTCTTTTAATTTATAATTACCAAATGTTCACACAGATTTCCTAACCATATCAATTTCTCTTATGTTTGTATTTGCTCGTGGTTTTCTATATCTAATGCCTATGTTGTGAAAATAAAACTGTTTGAACTGTTCTTCATTTCAATAGTGATAAGTCATCAAAGGTCACCTTGAAATAATAATTATACGCCTTTTAACAATATCGAAGCTTTACCTTGGTTGGAATTTCTTTGTTTCATATTTACTTCATTAAGTTTTTTCTCAGAACTCTTTTACAACAGAAAATTATCTTTAATCGTGATTACACTATATTATGTTGCTTGATGTGATCAAAGATAAATTGATTATGGTTTATTGCTTTGCCTAATGTTTGTTTTGTTTAAATAATATTCTAATGTATTCTGTAAACAATTTGTTTGATATATTATCTTATGATCTAAGCCATAACTAGTGACTTATATATAAAAGAACACACATCTGGACATCCTATTTAAAGCTTATATTCTGTGTGGTAATAAAACAAATCAAGCTATGATTTATTTTGCAAATTTTACACAAAAATCATTGATCAATGCAAGACATTTTGTCAAGAGTTACTTCCTTTCTTTTTGTTTATTGTCATGAACTTATATCTTTTTTCATGAACAATTTCACAAGTGTTTGGATATTCGGACAATTGGTCATTTTCTGCTACATCTAATATTTGAATATTTTACCTACGAACGTTCATACCTACATTGTAAAGTCCTCACGCCTTCGGCTTATCACTTATGCTTATTACTTTTACCATTATTGTTCATTTATTATCAACCTCAATGGTGACTGGGGAATGGAATTATGTCACTACAGGTCTTCTTCCGACCGGCAGTAAACCTTTGCCACAGTGGGGCGTCCGTTTGGCTGTGCGGGATGTACAAGTACGCAGTCACGTCCGATCAGAATGGGGACGTTAAATCCGATGCTTCGTGTTGAGAGAGTGCCATGCTCTCTACACGCTCAGAACTCTTGCAACAACTCTTTGAGGGATCCATAGGTGGCCTGATGAAATGCTAAATTTCTGTCCCTATCCAATTTACCCTTATTTTCCAGTGGCAGTTTTAACGTTAAGCAACCAACAATCAATCAATCATTTGTTATTGTTCTATTTAGATAACGGGTTTTCTTTAAATACTGAATCACTTATAAGCCTAATTTAAAACACGAATAAAACATTTCATTTATTTATCTAATATGTACTGACTTCTGATGAATATTTACTTTGAGTTTGAGCAATTCGTAGTTTCTTCTGATCTGTTCATTGCCATTCTATATGAAATCTTACTGGAATTACAGAAACCGATACTAAAGTGGGAGCAGGCATGATTTATCTATAATCAGATTGCTTATGTCACGCTAGTTTTCAGTAACCGGTGCCTCTTTTGAGTATGGTTGTAGTATTAGTTTGAATGTAGACGTATTCTTTTCGTCTAAGACATTGATAAAATAATAATATTCAGTTGTTTACTTTGCCTTTTTTCGAGTATTCGACCGATTTAGATAACAAAAAAGTTAGCCTTAATAATTTGAAAGGCTAGATTAACCATGCTTCACTGAAAGAAACTCCGATATCGTGCATTTATCTTACTTTGACCGTTACATTTGTTATAATCGATGTAATTATTTTAAAGCATGTACATTTTGTCAGGATGAAATAAAATGAGGATATGTTTTAGATATAAGAGGAACGGTAGTCCATAACGTAAAGGGCATCAAAATAGAACATTGAAAATAAGTCAATAGTTAAGATCTGTATTTTAGAAATAGTCACACTTGCCTCGATGTATCCGATCAGCGGAAATGAGGCGTTAAACATCAAGCTATCATTCAATAAATACACTAAAGTAGCTTATTTACAGTGAATAAACTGCAACAAACCAATTAAATGTTTCATATGCCACATACAAAATGTTCTGCGTTCAATTAAATGAAGAGCTACATAACAAAAGTTTGAACCAAACCTTTAGGCAAACATGACAATGATTTAAACAGATTAAAATACACCACAAGATAAGAAGTCAAATAAGATGTTACAATCTAAATATCTAGTTTCTTCTAGTCTTACAATTAGAACAAGTAAGAGGAAAAACAGACAAAACCATGGCCAATGAAAGAAAGACTAAAAACAAAACTGTCCCCAAATAGAAGATTAAGCAATTTCAACTCCACAAAACTAGAAAATAAACTGGTATGATATCAGGTTCTCTGGAAGAGTAGGAAGTTCTTGTTCCACTAGTGGCAGGTTTACATACCAGTTATAAGTCGCATTCGAAATTGTGAAAAGGAGAACGAGAGTTGTTCGGCTTAGACAAATAAACAAAATTCGTTGTCATCTGTAACCTAAGCTTTCCATTAGGTCAACTTAGTCATGTAGGCGTCCAAAATGTTTAAGTAATGACTTCAACAGCTCCATTAAAAACAAGATTAATTGATGATAAACTCTCATAGATACATATCATGATAAAAAGAAAATTGTACGCCAGACTCGCGTTTCGTCTACAAGAGACTCATCAGTGAATCTCGAGTAAAAAAAAAGTTAAAAGAGCAAAAGAAAGTACGAAATTAAAGAGCATTAAGGACCCAACTATATAACATTACAGATAGTACAAGGCTATATAGAAATTAATTTTCTAGTCCTATAGAAAGAATATTTTTTAATGTAAGAAAATCGGAAAATGTGCCTGTACAAATTGAAATACTCACCTATTGTGTAGTTAAAGTTTTCCAACTTGCTCGCTTTTACTCTCGCTGAATAAAACCATTCTGAATCATTTCCAAGATAATCATATTCCACAGATAAATCCTTCACATTAAGTCTCCCGTCTTCTGTTCTATGCGAATAAGGACAAAATAATCTGTAGTTTTTAAATTCCTGTTTATCGTAACAATTCCCAGCAGCAAATAATTCGGGATCCCCTTCTAACATAGACCTGACAGCCGAAAAGAAAAAGTTTTCCGATGACAAAATATTCTGATCTGCATCTTTCCAAATACGAGTTAGAAAGTTTGCTCTATTTACTGCAACGAGAGCCTGTGCTTTAAAACGCTTTTTTCCGTATTGTTTTATTACTCCATCTCCAAGAGTAAAATTAGTACCAGTTGTACAGTTGTACTTATTTTGTTCATACTGTTCTACCAGTTCAAGAAATTTTGTGACAACATCGGAATGGTCGATATTTTCCGAATCAGTTATGGAGTGTCCAGGCATTTGGGAAATATTGACAATGCTTACCGAAAGTTGAGTGTCCACTGTATAATTTGACACAACACTGACAGCAAATGAAACAATTGACGATATGAAAACGATTGAATACGTATCACCCATTTTGATTGTTTCTTATTCCAGTTCTGTAACTATTATCTAATTCAAGACTTTCGTTTGCTCTTTAAGACTTTTTGGTAAAGACAATTTTTAAATCAAATAATCACATACACTTGCTAAGTCTCTTTCCACCACATCTGAAATATAAAAAGAAAAGAGTTGTTATTGATGAAAAAAATTATTTCACTGTTCCATATACGATGTGTAAATATATCTAATAGATAGAATAAGGAAATCTTGATATAGTATTTCCTCTTACTAACAAGCTCATATTCTTAAATTCCAACTTATTGATAGCAACTACTTCAAGTGATTTATAGCCGTATAGAATGCTTATTTTACTTACCGATCGATTCTACATTCTTTCAGCAGATTTCAGTTTTGAATGTCATTTCCTTTCCCAAATTATATTACAGTACTTAAACTGCATCCGATCATCCAACAGACAACGATCAATCAGTTCTACTTTTTACACTGTTACAGTGATTTGAATAAAATGCCACAATTAGTAACAAGCTTGTGGTCATTTTGTATTACATAGTACGTCCATTAAGGTTCGTTGTTTTTATGGATTTCATGTATATAAACTATTCTCGTTTGAATTGTTTCACATTTTTCATGTCGGAGCCTTTTATAGCTAACTATACGGTATGGGTTTTGCTCATTGCCAAAGGCTGTACGTACGGGAACCAATAACTGCTTACTTACATCCACGTCATTTAGACTCTGGTTGAAAGTTGTCTTATTGGCAATCATATCACATATCGAATGATCACTTTATTCAAACTACAATTGTCCAAATACATAATCATGATAAACAAATAGCAATTAAACCTGCATGTTCCTCGTCACGCGAAGCTAATTTTGATAAGAATATTCCTGGAGGTTTTGACAAACTTACTATCTGTATGCAATTCATAAAGTATTCATAAGAGAGTACACAATTTGACTCGCACGACTTAATATGCAATACAAATATTTAGTTTAATTTATCAGTTGACGTAATTGTCTCCCCTTTGATACCTTTTCTACAAAAATATATACAGTTTTACAGATTCATCACTGATAATGACTTTATATAATAAAACTCGTGTAAAATTTGGATATAATAGATTCCATCAATATTGAATACAATATTTATATGATTTTAATGACGGCAAGAAATTGAATTTGTTGAACAATACGTTCTTTTATCCTTTCCAAAACGTACATATATATTGTTCAGGAATATTGAATTGTATAGATAAACTATTATTTTTCTAACGTATTCACATGAAGCTGTAAAGAAAGTTTTGGATATTGTACCAATTGACAGCTGTTCATGCCATTATCACATTTAATTATTAAAATTCATGTTACTCCTGATAACATTCCGATATATTAATTCCCATTCTTTATGCTTCAGAAATCATTCGGTTTGAAGTGTTTTCTTTATCTTATTTTCTCCACATCTTACTAATTGGAATGATGATATATGAAAAATGAATTTTGGTAAAAAAAATATACAATTTGATGAGTAAACTCCGTTAATTTGAGAATACATTTTGACTATTGATATACATGCAGTACCAAATGCGTATTGCAGTACTCAACTAATGCCAATTTTTCCATACAAATTAATACCGTTCATTATAAAGACACAGCACATAATAAGAATCCTGCACCTTGATATATACACCATTAGTGTTGCCAAGCATGTCATAGGCTAATTTTTGTTTTGTCAAGTGTTACATGTACACTTATTGAGTTGATATGTGTTACATGTACACTTATTGAGTTGACATGTGTTACATGTACACTTATTGAGTTGACATGTGTTACATGTACACTTATTGAGTGACATATGTTACATATTTTTTGTTTTTCCATGTACTACATATATTTTGTATGTTGCCATGTGCTACATACACTTTTTGTGCTGCTATGTATTACATACTTTTTTGGTTTGCCATGAGTTACATATTCTTTTTGTGTTTTCATATATTACATATTATACTTTTTGTTTTGCCATGTGTTGCACATATTTTTGTATTACTATGTGTTACATATACGTTTTGTTTTTCTAGCTAAACCCACGAGTGATCGCTATGCATCGTCCTGCGTCCCTCGTTTCTCTAATTTAATTTTTTCATCATTTTAAATTTTGAGGTTTCGTATTGTCAATCATCTCTAATCGCCATGCCGTGTGTTTACATGTATTACATATATATTTTGTTTTGCAATGTGTTACATACACATTTTGTTTTGCAATGTGTTACATACACATTTTGTTTTGCCATGTGTTACATACACATTTTGTTTTGCCAAGTGTTACATACACATTTTGTTTTGCCATGTGTTAAATATATTTTTGTGTTGCCATGTGTTACATATATATTTTGTTTTGCCATGGGTTAAATATATTTTTGTGTTGCCATGTGTTACATATACATTTTGATTTACTACGTGTTACATGTATTTTTGTGTTATGGTGATTTACATATACATTTTGTGTTACCATGAATTACGTACACATTTTATTTTGCCATGTGTTACATGTACTTTTATCGTTGCCATGTGTTACATAAAATATTTGTGTTGCCATATGTTACATATACTGTTTGTTTTGCTATGTGTTACATATACATGTTATGTTGCCATGTGTGACAAGTACCTTTCGTGTTCCCGTGTGTTACACATAATTTTTGTGTTGCCATGTAATACTTTATTATTTTTTTTTGCCATGTGTTACACATAGTTTTTGTTTTGCCATCAGTTATTGCCATTGTTTTATGTTGCCATGAGTTACAAATACTTTTCTTGTTGCCTTGAGTAACATATACTTTTTATGTTGCCATGTGAGACAGATACGTTCGTGTTGCCATGGGTTACATATACTTTTTGTGTTGCTATGTGTTACATATATTTTTTATGTTGCCATGTGTGACATATACTTTTCGTGTTGCCATGTGTTACACATGTTTTTGTATTGCCAACTAATTCACACATTTTTGTATTACCATGTGTTACATATAAGGGGTTTTTTTTGCCAGCTAGGCCTATCCCGCGAGTGATCGATATGCGTCGTCCTGCGTTCATCTTTTTGTTTACTTTAATGTATTGCCAAACATCTCTAATCGGCATGAGATATAATGCCGTTCAAGAAACATTGTCTGTCCCAAACGGAGATTTTTCATGAGTATTTTTTTTATACTTGATAGTGCAGTTCAAGACGTACATGACGTAGATTTAATGTCTTCCGTGATGGAAGTGATGAAGTTTGGCATAAAAATTTAATTATAGAATAACTAATCGAAGAATTCAAATAGAGAAAAATATTCAACGAGTGACCGAACACCACTTTATTCACGAAGGCGCGTAGCGCATGAGTTAATTATCGGTGTTGTTTGGTCACGAGTTGAATATTTTTCGATATTTGAATTCTTTGATTAGTTATTCTTTTTATTACATTGGCAAATGGCTTTTTTAAGAAATTTAAGTAGAAAATGTAAGGAACTATATCTTTTTCTACGCATTTACAATTTGTGTTGATCCGACGTTATCGACGTCCTGACAACGCCTATAGTCAGAGGAGTGAAATAACGACGTTTATTTCACATTTGAAATTATCGGTTTTTATTTCACTGGGAAATCAATATAATTCATTGCAACCAATGTAATAATAGGAGATATTTTGACTTTGTTCTATACAATTTTGTTTGAATTTCTGGTGATGATTGATATTATTCAACTATAAAGAATACATGTAATTATAATCGAAACATTATCACCAATGAAGAAATTCGAATGTTATGAGCAACTTTTAACACAAGAAAAAAATTACCAAGTGCAGCTTACCAGATGGAGTACTTTCATAGATCATTTTTGTGATATCCTTCATACTCAGGATAAAAGTTGATATAACATATATGTATATATGTGGCTCTGGACTTACCGTTAGAAGGCAGTATGATATTGTCTACTGTAGATAATCAGATTCTATAGGTATATTTCGATTATTCTATAAAACTCGAACTACATTTACAATAGAATTCTATGAGTAAAGTTGACACTAGGCAGCTTAGATGGACGCCATTTGATGACGTACTCGATATATCATATGAACTGATCAACTTAATGACATTTCTGCTTCGTTCAATATGTGCAAATAGTTGATTTTTATAAAACGATAAAATGAGTTCTATGTCAATTTCAAATCTTAATTTTCATTTCAGCCACAGGAAATGCTAATAAATTCCTATGAAAGCAAACATTGAACAGAGAGTGTAATATACTGGGACTAATTGTATTTGCAAAGGTGTAATTTCAGAAAACACAGAACATCTTGAGTACAGTAAATGTTTCTATGTCTTGGTTTATTCCTTAGTATTTGTCTGACAAATTTTCACACTATATCCCAATTGTTTTCAATCTAATCTCTAAATGTTTCTTAATCGTGGAATTCTGGTTTTTATGAATATTGAACTTAACGACTTTCCATCGGAAATTTGTATTATTGAACAAATATTATCTTACAAGATGTTTTACTGCGCATTCTTTTGGGTTTTTTTCTTTCCAAAAGAAATAAGTTGGATCAACAATAATTCAATGTTATTGCAACTAATATTAACCGCTAAGTTGTAGTGGATTATTAGTAGTCCACATGGGGACGGTCCGCAAAAAGGCAAGTAACCCTACCCTCACACATTCCGAGCTAACCCGTCTTTGCTCTTACTTTTGAATGCTGTGTGTTTAGAGAAGCAGCGAACGCCAATTTTTTAAGTCTTGTTGTGCCATATTGTAATTGTGATATGTGTTAATTATTTTGACAAATAAAAGCAAATCTGTGTAATACGTTACCCAGGAAAAAGTCAGAAAAGTTTTTAAAAATAGCAAGGAAAAGTTGAAAATGTGAGAAAAAGTCTTTACGAACATCCTTTGTCAATGGTCCAGTACCATGATCAATTGTTACAGGTTATTCTCATCATGACGATGATTTCTTTAACGTAATACAAATGAAAACATTTGTTTCAGAACATAAAATGGTTAATTTATGTTATGTTGTTTTGTTCACAATATAATCACAGCAATAAATACAATATTTGATTAAAATTGTCATCCAAAGCTACATGAATTATTGGTTCACAAAAGA